AATCTTACCTAAAATCTCTTTTTTGTTTTTGTGTGGAGTTGTTGAGGGCGGATTCCTTTTTCCGCAGCACTCAGTCATTAAATCTTTGGCACTATGTAAGAGGCCTTTCCATGTGTTCTATTTGTTATGATATTTTGTATTTTCCTTGTCTTCTACTGTGCTTGTGAGAATGCAATTTGGACTTAAAATCTTCGCATCTATAAGTCTGAAAGTGTAAAGGTGAATGAGACGATGGGGCTGCTCTTGTTGCCAAGTGTGCATGCCTCCTCCCTTTATGATGAGAAAGCAGTGAGCCTTTCACATGGTTAAACCTTCCGCAGCTGCGTGGATCTTCTATCCTTCTAGGGTCGTTTTGATTGTATGCGCCGTTAGCGCCAGGGTGAAGTTTCGCCTTGATCCCTTCAAATTGATGAATGGCTTAGCTGCGTAACATCTCAGTTCGGAGCTCCATTTGAGGACTAGATTCAATGGACAGTAACACGAAAATAGTTTCCCATACTCGATTATAGCCCTCCTCCTCCTTTGGGAGCAGAAACTCCGTCTCCCTACATGCCGTCCGTCGCTTAGAGCCACTTATAGTGTCTGTATCTCATGTGCATATTTCTTGGCAGATGGTGTAGCTTGATTTTTCACATTTGGTTGAGGTTTGTACCCTTAATCGGGTTTGACTCACATAGCATCCCGCCCTAGCCGACCCTGGACACCGAAGGGTGGCTTTAAGGAATCAGAAAGGAGTAAGTGACCTTCTGTGTCTCTACGCGCTCCTTAATTATGCCACTAGCCCCCATTCCTTGGCGTGATGACCTTGACCCTGTTGTGGTTAATGAGTCATTGCGTTTGGTGTTTCTTACGACACACCTCTGCCAATGATGGAGAGAGATGTGGTCCCTACCACATTTTCCTCCGGTTGGATCAGATACCAAATGCGGTGGGGTGAAAGAGATAGGTCTTTCGCAATAGCCTTCCTTATGCGCGTTCGGCTTTTCTAAACTGCTAATCAATGTTGATTCCTTAACAATATTGAAATGTTTTAATTAATTTGAGATGTCTCTTCATAGTAAATACCTTACCTCTTGATAGTTTTTTTCAGTATTTATGAAGATTTTATTTAATTCATTAATTAATGATGGAGTCAATACAATGAAACACTTGGGCCAAAGGAAAATTCAAAGAGCCACACGGTACAAAGCAAGTAAGGAATATATGAATGAGTCTAAAAATAGATGCAAAACATTTTACCTACAAGGAACTTATAAGTTGTCTCCCACTAGATACTATATTTGCATTTTTATGTATATAAGTAATTTACATTCTTCCCAGTTTTCTATAATTTGCAGTTATAAAATAGCTCAAAGACAATGAAAGGTTGATAGAAACCTGTAGTCTCTTTGGTCTACTCTAATGTCTTTAAAAACTTTTGTTCTGCAATAATATTAGTGTTTAATGTGTCTGGTGTGGTTATAAACATATATCTTAATTCAGTAAGTTTTCACCAGGTTATCTTTATTTTAGAGGTGAGATGAAGGTGATGAGGTTTTAATTTGTTCATGGGTGCTCTGACCTGTTTGTGTGGTAAATTTGAGTCATTTTGGAGTACTGAACTCCAGGTATCATGAGGATTTGCAGTTTTTCCTTTCATGATGGTCTCCTTGAAAGCATAAACCTGCGGACACCAAGGGTCTACTGTATTGTGGAGTTTCTTTTAACATCTATTTTTAAGATTTAACTTTGCTAAATTTTTGTTGTTATCCTCCATAAATGTGACTGAAGACAATTTTTTTGTTAGATTTTTGTGAAAAGGTGGCCATTTCTATATTTTATAGTTTTGCCTAAGGGAAAAAAGGACAGTCATGACAAAGTGATGGGTTTAAGGTCCTAATTGGGATTTTTTTTTGGGTCCCATTTTGAGTGGATTTTGTGACTGGGTTATTGTTGATCTTAATGATAATCATTCCAGGGGACTGGTAAAAGCAGAATCTCGATTGGAAGGAGGGTGGTGATGAACAGAGATTGCTAATATATGTCTCTGGAGAATTTAACTGGAAAGGCTATTTATCACAAGATGGAAGAAGGCTGTTTTTTTTTTTGTTGTTGTTGTCTGTTTTGATAAGATGGCAGGTGTAAGTAGTAAGGGCGCTCCTGAGAAACAGAACCAGTGGGATAGATACAGATAGATTAAAAAAAGATATTTATTGTGAAGGATTGGCTCTTGCAATTATGGAAAACAACAAGCCCCAGATCTGTATTCTGTAAGGTGGAGGCCAGGAAACATGTAGGTCCAGTCCAAACAACTGAGAACCAGGGAAGCCAGTGGTGTAAGTCCCAGTCAGAGCCTGAGGGTTGAAGAACCAAGAGGGCCAGGGGTATTAAATCCTAATTCTGAGTCCAGAAGCCTGAGAACAGGCACATCGAGGTCTTCGGGCAGGAGAGCGTGATATTCCACCTGAAGCAGAGAGAGCCAACTCTTTCTCTGGCTTTTTTATTCTGGGCCTCAAAGCACTGAATGATGCCGCCCCATTAGGGAGAACAAGGCTTCTTCATGTATGCCAACTCAGATGCTTCCCTCACAGACACGCCCCAAAACAGTGTTTTCCCAGCTTCTGAATGCCCCTTAGCTCGGTCAAGTTCACTTCTTGACAATTTAACCACAAAAAATTAACTACTCCTTTCTTTCTTTTGTAAATGAAATTTATATTTAGAAAATTTTTAGTTATTGGCTTTAGGCAGTTTGATTATGATGTACCTTGGTACAGTTTTCTTCATGATTCTTGTGCTTGAAGTTTGTTAAACTTCTTGAATGTATGGATTTATAGTTTTCATCAAATTTAGGAAAAGTCCGGCCACTATTTCTTCATATGCTTTTTTCCTGTTTCTCTTTTCCTGCCCTTCGGGGACTCCAGTTACATGTGTTTATGCCTCTTGGAATTGTCCATGCTCACTGGTCTGTCCATTTCAGATCTTTTCTCTGTTTCATTCTGAATAGTATCTATTACAGAATCATCAAGTGTGCTTCTCTTTCTTCAGTGTCTAGTGTGCTAGATTCAGTATATTTTCCCTCACAGGTATTGCAGTTTTATTGCTAGAAATTTGATTTGAATCTTTAAAAAAAAAAAATCTTCCAGATCTGGGACCTTTTTAGTCTTTCTTCTAGCCAGTTGAACATGAGTAACAGATGTGACATTTAAAGCCCTTGTCTCCCGATCTTATCATTTGCCATTTCTGGGTCTGTTTCTGTTGATCAGTTGTTCTTCTCATTATGAATTGTTTCCTACTTCTTGTACGTCTGATAACTTTTAAAAATTGGGCCAGGTATTATGAATGCTACCTTTTTGTGTGCCAGATTTTTTTGTTTGTTTTCCTACACATATTCTTGAGCTTTGTTCTTGGATGTAATGAAATCATTCAGAAATAGTTTGGTCCTTTTGCTTCATTGTGGGGCTGAGAGTAGCCATTAGTCTAGGGATTGTGTTGTAACCCTTCTGAGTACTCAGTCTGATGCCCTGGGAAGTAGGAGGTTTTCCACTCTGCTTGGTAGAGCTAGGCGCTGTTCACCACCCTCTGTGAGCCTCGGGAATCATTCTTTTCGCTCCTCTCAGGTGACTGTTTCCCAGCCCTCCCATAGCTCTTTTTACGCAAGCCCTTATTATTACTGGGCTGAAGCCTTGGGGACCGGACTGTCTGTGAGCTCTGTAGCCTCCTCTGAGCAGCCATCTTTCCTCCAGTCCTCTGCTTATGGACCACAACTGTTCTGTCCTCTCAATTCTGGGAGTGGCCCTGCCTGCTCTGAGGCCTGGAAACTGTCTCTAGCTAGTAATCTGGGGCAGTGGTGGGTCTCCTCTCAGTTGTTTCTCTCTCGGTGGACCTTGTTTCTGTGAGGTGGCTTGCTTCTGAGCCATTGTAGATTTTGTTTAGTTGGTTAGATTTCAAGAGAGTGGGCAAATCCAGTCTCTGATATCCCGTCTTTACTGGAAGTATTAGTACACAGAGAAGTAAATAGTATATTGATTACTTGGATAGTCACTACCCATCTGTATAATTTTTTTTTTTTTGTGGTACTGAGATTTGAACTCTGGGTCTATACCTTGAGCCACTCCACCAGCTCATTTGTGATGGGTTTTTTCAAGATATGGTCTCGTGAACTGTTTGCCGAGGGCTGGCTTTGAACCTTGATCTTCCTGATCTCTGCCTCCCAAGTAGCTAGGATTATAGGTGTGAGTCACCAGCGACTCGCTTATCTTTATAATTTTATCATTTTTGCTGCATTAAAAAAAAAAAACAACACTAAGAATACAGCTAAAATCATTTCTTCTTGATCCTATTCTTTTGCTGTCTACAGAGTAACCAGTATTCCGTAATTGATGAATATCATTCATGTGTGGATTTTTTAGTTTTACTACAAGTATGTATTCATAAATATCTCATTAAAATGTTATCATGAATGTGTGCAGATACTGTGTTGTACCTATCATTTTTCAGTTTTCTTATTTCTATCTGTGGTACATGTAGCTTTAGCTGCAATGTAAATTCCACAAGGACAAGAATCGCTGTATTTTGTTCACTGGGGTATCCCAAGTACCCAGAACAGTGCCTGGTACATAGTAGGCACTCAGATATAATGAGTGAGTTCATTTCAAGTGCTATATAGCATTTGATTGTATGACCTACAGCGTATCTGTTCTGTTGGTGGGTGTTTAGGTGGTTGTACGTTTTTGCTAACATGAACAAATTGCAGTGAGTGCTCTTGTTTTTGTCTTTATGTGCATGGGTAAGAATTTCTTTTAGTATACGCTGGGATCTTAGGGTAGGCACCTCTTCAGTGAACTGTACTACTCTCCATGACAGTAGTACCAATTTATACTCCCACTGGCAAGATGTAAGAGTTCTCATTTCTCTGTATCATCACCAGTATTTGGTGTTACCAGATCTTTTCATTTTTGCCTACCCTATATACATGAAATTGTGTTTCATTTTACTTGTTTTTAAAAGATACATTTTTTTTTTCCCAATAGAAATTCAATGTCATCGTTCCGTCCTGGGAGAGGACATGACAGTCGGAGGACTGTGTTTTACACCAATGAAGAGTGGGAACTTTTAGACCCACCCCCTAAGGACCTGGAGGAGTCGGTGGTACAGGAAGAAAGGAAGAAGCAGATGCCTGAGGGAAACAAAGGTACAGAACATTGCTGTGCTTTTGCTCTCTGCTGCCTTCTTTCCCTCCAGTGACGTGGAGACGCTTTAGTGGCAGGTGTCTGGAAGCACAAGGCTCAGTGGGGCCTGCACTCTTTGTGTGGGATATGAAGCAAACAGTTTGAAAAATGAAGTGCGTCAAGAAATAGGCGACTGTCAGCTTTTTCAGGAGATAGAACACCTGGAAGTTGTGCTGCTCTTTGTAGAAATACTGATTTTTAAAACGTTTTAGTTGTAGAAATTTGAGATCATGGCTCTGGTGTACCTGTTGTTAGTCACCTTTTCATTATTATAGCACATACCTGAGAGAAAGCAACTAATAGAGGCTCTTTGGCTCAGTTTCCCTGCTACCACTAAAGAGAGCCTGGTGCATACTGTTGCAACCTGCCCTCTTCTTGGCTAGGGACAGGACGACAGGACAACAGCCAGACCAGCTTCCCAGTTGGAGGCTGCAGTGCCTTCCGTGGGACACAGGCAGGTGACAGTGTGGCACCTGCAGGTTAGGAGGTGCAGAGCACCCAGTGCCTGCCTCACTGCCCACCTGACAGTCTCCCTCCCAGGGGCTTGCTTTGCCTTTGGAGCTGCGGAACTCAGGACTGACATGGTGTCGAGTGTGGACTTGGAGCTGATTCTGGTGAGTCTTCAGCCCATTGCCACTCTGCCATGCCTGAAGTGCACCTGGCCAGGGCCCCATCCTGAAGACGGTACAGGAGGCTCTTAAGGACCTCGTGGGCCATGGTGGACCATGAGCTCTGAGGTGTACCTGCAGTGTACAGGCTCCTCCCACATCTCCTTGGCGCACTTACTGTTGTCACCACAGTGTGGCCATAGGCGTGCACCTCACCAGCATGTCCAAAATGTTAGAATGCACTGGCGGTGAAGATGTCATCACAGTAAGGGCTGAAGGTACCACAGACATCTTGTGCTAGTATTTGAGGCAGCAAATCAGGAGAAAGTTTGGGATTTAGATGATGAACAACTTGGAATTCCAGAACAGGAGTACAGCTAGTACACTAGGCAGAGATACCTAGTGGGGTTGCAAGTACATGTGGAGATGCTGTGGTGGTGTCCTGTGCAAAAGATGGAGTGAAGTTTTCTGTGAGTGGAGAGTTTGGAGATGGAGACATTAAGTTCTCACAAACAAGTAATGTTGATGAGGAGGAAGCTGCCCTCTAGAGATGAATGAGCCAGTCAGCGACTTTCACACTGAAGAACCTGAAGCTCACAGAAGCCGCTCCACTCTTTCCTGCAGCAACCGTACGTCTGCAGATGGACCTCTAGGTGTAGGGTGTAAAGTTGCCGACCTGGGACTTTTAAAGAGCCGTTTGGCTCCCAAGATTGCAGATGAAGAAGGACCTTAGGATTCACAAAAATCCAAGAAAATAAACCTAAGTCTTTGAGAACCGCTTCTGAGATGCCAGCACGTAAGGAGGTCGATTCTGTCCCTAAATTTGTACCTTTGTGCAATATGTAGATACTGCTTGCTGTAAATAACCTGTTTTTTTTTTTTTCTCTCCATTTTCTACATTTTGTTTAGAAAATAAAGTCCAGAGTTAAGTCTGGTCTTTTTAACCTAGAAATACATCTGCCTTATGTAGAAATATTCCTGGTGATTTTTTTTTTTTTTTCAGTACTGGGGTTTGAACTCAGGTCTTCACACTTATGAAGCAGGTGCTCTACCACATTAAGCCACATCTCCAGCCCCATTCCTGGTGATTTTTATAACAAAAGAGTCTTGACTCCTAAGTGCAGTTTTAACAAATATTTTTCAATTTAAATGAAGTTAATCTGAATTTCAAAAAAGAAAAAAGGACACCTAGAGAAGACAAGGTTTGTCCTTCACACCTTGACTCTTACACTTTTAAAATACAGAAATGCCCAGACTTTCTGTTTTTGAAAAATGGCCATTTAAAATAATCTGATGTTTGTATTTGTTACATATCTTTAAAAAGCAACGAAATCTGATTTGATTTGCAAGTTTTATCTCTAAAACAAATGTGTTTTTCAGGGGGTGGGGTAGGCTCAAAGATTTTTGCCATGGAATGGACTTTTAAAAATTGAAATAGTCTTTGCAAGCATGAAGCCTTGAGTTCAAACCCCAGTCCTACCAAAAAGAAAAAAAAGTTAAAAATTGAGCTAGTACTAGTAAACAAAAGCATAGTTCCTTAGTATCTCTAAGAGATAATAACTCTTAAAAATTACAGCCATACCTTCATTATTACATCTTAAAGCAGTTACAGTAAGTCCTTAATACTATCTGATTCCTCAGTTGTTCATAAATGTCTGCTTATAGTCAGTTTGTTCAAATGAGGATCCAGACATTATATTGAATGACGAGGCATGTCTCCTTAGGCCTCTTCTGTCTTCCCAGCTCCATCTTTTTCCCTTTCCTTTCCCCTGCCATGTGTGTTGAGGAAACCACATTCTCATGCTGAGGAGTTTCCCACCAACTAGATTGGCAGTTAGTTGTCTTTCCGAGGGGTCCGTTATTAGTATATTTGCAAATTCTTTAGTAGTATCTCTAAGAGATAACAACTCTTAAAAATTACAGCCACACCTTCATTATTACATCTTAAAGCAGTTACAGTAAGTCCTTAATACTATCTGATTCCTCAGTTGTTCATAAATGTCTGCTTATAGTCAGTTTGTTCAAATGAGGATCCAGACATTATATTGAATGACGAGGCATGTCTCCTTAGGCCTCTTCTGTCTTCCCAGCTCCATCTTTTTCCCTTTCCTTTCCCCTGCCATGTGTGTTGAGGAAACCACATTCTCATGCTGAGGAGTTTCCCACCACTAGATTTGGCAGTTAGTTGTCTTTCCGAGGGGTCCGTTAACATAGTCCCCCATCCCCTGCATTTCCTGTGTACTACTAGTTAGAGCCAGAGGCCTGCCTGGGTTCAGGGTTGACTTAAATTGACAAGAGCATGGTTTTGGTGAGAGGGAAGGTACAGTGCACTCCTGTTGCATCACATCTGGAGCTGTAGCCTGTCTGGTTTTTCTTTCCTGCAGTATTAGAGTTGTCAGCCTGATGCAATCATAAATTTCTCCATGAGCATTTTGCTTAATGCTTTTTTTTTTTTTTGAGGGGATGGGGGTGGTACTGGGGTTTGAACACAGGGCCTCACACTTGTTAGGCTGGTGCTCCACCACTTGAGCTACTCCACCAGCCATTTTTTGAGTTGAATACTTTTCAAGATAGGGTCTCATGAAGTATTTGCCTGGGCTGGCCTCGAGCCACTGTTCTCCTGATCTCTGCCTCCTGAGTAACTGGAATTATAGTCATGAGCTACCAGCACCCAGCTTTCCTAATGCTTTTAGTAGTCATTCACAATCTAGATTCATTTACTTATTAGGGGAATATTAATGTTTTAAACATAAAATTATAATAAATAATTATGAAATTCTGTGTTTTGCTTGATTCTGTCATGGGCCAGTAGAAGTAGGAGACAGAATTTGGGATAGCAAGTATTTACTAAGTCCTTTCCCTTGGGAAAGGACTGTTATGATTAACTTAGGAGACTTGTCTGTGTTCCCTGGAATCATGTGACGTAGTGAGTTGGATACACTTAGTTGCCCAGTGTGTGGTGTAGTCATTGGGAGTGCCCCGGACAGGGCTCACTGTGAACTGGGAATGCTTCCTGGAAGAAAGAGGGATTTGAATTTTTGGAAATGAGCACTGTTCTGACTTCTGGAAGAAAAGGAAAGTGAAATGGAAGGGATGAGTGAGAGCAAGGTTGGGAGGGGGAGAATTACGGGACTTAGTATTTGGGGAGATGAGAGACTCATCACCACTGGAGAGAACTCTCTTGACTGATTAACAGCTTGGCTCAGCTTCTGCCCAGCCTGATCCTCTTTGACAGAGCTTGTGAAAGACAGCAATGTCTCTGGACTTCAATCTTGCTGAATTTATGGGCATTTTTTGTAATTGCTCTAAGAACCAGCCTACCAGCTTGTTGTCAGTGTTACAGGAAGTAAACTGCCCTTCCTTATACCCCACAGAACTTCAAAATAAACTTTTTATCAAAGTATAACATGCAGAAAAGTTCCCTGGTCCGAAATGTGTAGCTCTATGAATTGTCATGAAGCAGATATACCCTGTATATAGCCAGCACCCACTCAGGTGCTAGCTGCTGTCAGCCCCAATCCAGTCTCTGTCCCACCTGGGAACTTGCATTGCTCTGAACAGTGTAGATGTGTTTGTCTGTGTCCTTGCTTTTATAAACCAAACCTACATAGTACCTTTGTGTCTCCCATTTGTATTTTGAATGCATGTGTGAAACCTTTTATACCAACAATTATTTGGATCCTGCAGTATTTTTAAAATGCATGTTTACAGTTTTTAAAAGCATGCATTTGGGTATTTTTTTTGTTCATTTTTAAAATGAGGACAGATTAGTAAAATAAGAAACCAAGGATCCCTAGTGTGTCTTAGTATTTTCAAAGTGATCACATGCTGACCTTTCAAGGAGGGGGCCAGTGAGAGAAACCATCTTTGGTTTTAGGCATGTTGGTTATTACCTAGAATGAAGTGGGACAGAGGTGTCTCGGCTTCCTTTGTTCTCTGGGTGATGACTAAAAACTCATCTGAGGGTGATTTGTAAGGATGCAAAACTTCTTCCAAATGAAATAAGTTTTTGTTTTGCATAGGAGTCACTGGCTCAGGATTCCCCTTCGACTTTGGACGCAACCCCTACAAAGGAAAGCGCCCTTTGAAGGACATAATTGGGTCATACAAAAATCGTCACAGCAGTGGTGACCCTTCAAGTGAGGGGCTGTCAGGCAGTGGCAACATCAGCGTACTCGCCTCTGAGATGCAGCTGCAGGTTCAGAGCCAGCAGGAGGAGCTGGAACGGCTCAAGAAAGAACTGTCCAGTCAGAAGGTAAATGTCTCCTGCCTTCTGTCTTGGCCCACCTCAGCAAGCCAAGGACCCAGGAGTAAAGCCTGTTTGTGTGTCTTGCAGGACTTTCCTTCAAGCTTGCTCAGAGACCTTTGGGTCACAGGAAGAGGGAAAATTCATCACAGGCGGTCTCAGGGCAGGACTGTGCTCTCTGTACCCTTGCCCAGTTTGGGCCAGATCAGCCAGATCTCTTAACAGTTGTTAAACAGTTTCCATATCCTGTTCAGCAACATATCTTCTTTCTGAACTAGTTAGAGTAATCACACTTAGTTGTTCAGCAGTTCAGTGAATCTTAGAGCACAGTTTTTTTTTTTTTTTTTTTTTTTCTTTTTAGGAGCATTGGCAGTACTAGAGTTTGAATTTAGGGCTTTGCACTTGCTAGGCAGGTGCTGTACTGATTGAGCCATGCCTCCAACCCTTTTTGCTCTAGTTATTTTGGAGATAGGGTCTTGCCTTTCGCCCAGGCCAGCCTGGACAATGATATTCCAATTTAAACTTCCCACCATGGCTGGGGAGATAGCATGTGCCACTACGCTCAGTTTTTATCTGTTGACTTGTTTGGCCTGGATTGGCCTGGTATGGGATAGCCAGCTTGGGATGACAGGCATCAGGTCTCGCTAACTTTTGCTCCAGCTGGCCTTAAACCATGATCCTCCCAAGTTGCTAGAATTTCAGGCATAAGCTACTGGTGACCTGCTTTCTTTTTTTTGAATGATAGGGTCTTGCTGTATATTCCAAGCTGCTCTCAAATTCTCAATCCTGCCTCAGTCTCCTAAATGCTGGGATTGTAGGCATGCATCACTGTGTCTAGCTTCACAGACTTTTTCCTACAGATTTTTTTTTTTTGTGGTGGTACTGGGATTTAACTCAGGGCATCACACTTGCTGGGCAGGCACTCTACCACTTGAGCCACTCCACCAGCCCCATCCTATAGATTCTTTAATATTGATAAACATTTACCAGGAATCATTGCTAATTACAGTATCCATATCCATTATTTCCAGCTTCCTTTTATTGTTCTCTACAGACAGTATTCATGGAGTAAATATTTTTCTTCCTCTCTACTTTTTGAGAGACCTTTCAAGAGGAAGTTCAGTGTTAAAATGAGTCCAGTAAGGTTTCTTTCTGTTTCCTCAAATTCCAGTGGTTGCTCCCTGTGAGGTTGTCATGATTCCTGCTTTTGCCTCCCCTCCCGGGCTCTCCTCCATTTACCCCGTGCTCCTCTTGGCTCCCAGGAGCTGGTCCGGCTGCTCCAGCAGACTGTCCGCTCATCCCAGTATGACAAGTACTTCACGAGCAGTCGACTCTGTGAGGGGATCCCAGGGGACACGCTGGAGCTGCTCCACCAAAAGGATGATCAGATCCTGGGCCTCAGCAGCCAGCTGGAGAGGTTTACCCTGGAGAAGGAGAGCCTCCAGCAGGAAGTGAGGACGTTGAAGGGCAAGGTGGGCGAGCTCAACGAGCGGCTGGGCATGCTGATGGAGACCATCCAAGCCAAGGACGAAGTCATCATCAAGCTCAGCGAGAGTGAGGGCAGCGTGGCCTCGCCCACCTCGGGGCCCTGCTCCCCCCTGGCAACCCCACCAGCAGGGACCAGCTGGAGCTGGACAGGCTAAAAGTAAGAGCAGGGCAGGGGCTCTGGTGTGGGGTGGAGATCCCAAGACCCGTTAATGCCAGTGACTTCAGCCTAGAGGTACTGGTCTCTGATTTGGCCAGACAGCAGAGCAGCTGTGCCTTTATTTATTTATTTTGTGACACACTATATCAGGACTTGTAGTCAAATAATTATTAGTGTCTCAGGAGCTTCCTTGGAACATGAAACTCAATCTAGTGCTGTTGTGATTGCTTGGAACAGTTTCAGAGCTTTCCCTCCCTTGCTTTCAGGTAGCTAAGACCTGCCTTTCTATCTGTCCCACCCTCGGGACTTCACTATTCAATGGAACCTACAGAGGTTGTTACCCGCCTGGTCTGTGCTCATGAATTTGCACAGCCTGCCACAGGGCCTAACGCAGGCCTGGGACAGGAACAATAGCTACTGTCAGATCAGTCAGAGAGGTGAACACCAGTTAGTGGCCTTTGGAGCCACTAACGGGGTTGATGGGAGTCGACTTCCCCTCTGCTCCCCTGTGCAGCCTGATGCCTGTGGTGGTTCTGAATGAGTTGTGAAATCTTTTCCCCAACATTTCTCAATAATTTTAACGCCTGTAGCTACAAAATTCACAATGATGAAGTGAAGTGGGGACAATTTGTGAAGAGGCAGGTGGTCGTGTGGATCCCAGGTAGGAAAGGACTTCATTTATCCTTGCTCTCCCTGGGGCCTGTGGGTGCCAGTTCCTGGGGCATCTATCCCTTTGCCATGCAGAAGACATTTGCACCTAACTCATGTCCGTTTTGTAGTGCCCCTGGAAGAATTGAAAGTGCTTGAGAGAGACAAGGGAGAGCCTGAGGGGTGCTTTCTGTTGTCTTCTTGTCCTTCAGTTCTGGACAAGAACTGAAGTGTTAGCTTCTTTGACCCTAACTGGAAAAATATGTATATAGTTTCCATGCATAAATAGTATTTTTCATATAAACAAAAGTGTTTGGACTATGTTTTATATATTTTGTTATTTTTGAGATACATCTTTTCATCATTGCTGTCATCGGCCACTCTTCTTGCTTTCTGGTTTTTTTTTTTTTTGCAGCACTGGGGTTTGAACTCAGGGCCTCATACTTGCTAGGCAGGCACTCTTACCACTTGAGCCACTCCACCAGCTCTTCTTCCTTTCTGATTGGTTAGTGCACGCAGCCTTTAAAGAGTTCTGGCCTTTCGGAACTTACTAATTTTTTCTTTCATGGTCTCACATGGTTACTTTTTGTTCCATGGTATTCTGAAATGTGGACAAAATAGTGGGGTAGGATTTTACCACCCTGGTGATTAAAGTTCTTTGTTTTTTTCCATGCTTCCTTCCAGGCCTTTTCCATGTTTACATCATTCTTCCATTTGCAAAGCAGGTCGACTTTTGTATTCCTTCATTCAACATTGTAGCTTATGTATTGCTGTGTTGCTGGGATTAACAATTTCAGAATTGCCCCTCTGCCAGGCCATCACTTGCTTCATCTTTGTCTTTCATCCTGTGTTTTGCTATCTCATGAATATCTTCATGCACACACCCTGCCTTCCTTCTTGGACTCTAGTCTGTTCTCAGC